ACGCGGAGTCCAATGAGAAGTATGCTTTAGGCTCGTTGATTGCATGCCTTGCTCATGGGATCGTACCGAATGACTACTGAATGAATGTGTTATTGCGAACATGAAACAGTCCAGATGAAATGAAAATGCCGCGATCGGATTGGGAGCATCCTCGTCCTCACTGGGTTGTGAAGTACTGGATTGCATGGAATGAAATTATGTCATCTTAATGACAAAATGTATGGAACTGTAAATTATTATACTACGAGGAGAAAATATGTCATTATATTTCGGTTACTTTTACAAATTGGGGTGATTTCAGTTTTACTTACATTTGAAGAATCGTCCAAAAAAAAAAAAACAACTTGGCCCTCTTGAAGCCGACGTTTGTGAATCAGAAGTTGTGATTGGCTGTCATGTGACAATTAAGGCAATTTCAAAAATTGCAGCACATGTAAGGTGTACTCAAATTCAGTCATATCGTCTTTTATATTACTTTTGTGCTGTCTTACTATTTTGGAAAGATTTTAACACTCATGTATTGAAATGTAAAAATGGTTAACCATTGAGAGCATTTAGTCAGAGTGAATTAAAGTAATCAAATATAAATAGTGATCTTATTTTGAGAACGTCTGGGCCATTATTGCGTTTTCAACAAGATAACAGTAACCAATTCCTTTTTCGAAAGTAATCCCGCACAATGCCTTTGTACTTCATCCACGTCAGCAACCTGGCCGAGCTGAAGAGTCCGCGCTTGGAGCCCAAGATTCACCTGGACCTGCCCTTCCAGATGCTGGACTGGAACAGCGGCCTGAGCTCGGAGAAGATAAGCCACAACCCCTGGAGCCTCCGTTGCCACAAGCAGCAGCTCAGCCGCATGCGCTCCGAGTCCAAGGACCGCAAGCTCTTCAGTATCCTCCTCTACTTGTGGCAAATGGACAGGCCTTCCACCCACAAAGGTTGTTTACGGTGATAATTGGGGGGTGGGGGGGGGGGCATCGCTCGTATCCACCAAGCCGTAGCATTTTAGGGTCGTTTAAGCCATTTTCGGGCCTCTAAAAGGAACTCTTCCTAACGAATGAGTCAGATCGCTTGAACCACGAATGCTAAGATGAGAGACGACAATTAATTGTGGGGAATTATTGTTGTCTTTGGTGAGATGTCAGAGCCTGGCAGCAAATTGCGTTTGAACTTTGTGCATCAAGCAGCATCTTTGAGCCAAATTAGTTATTTTCAAGGGTTTTTTTGAATGATTTTAAAATCCAGCCCCCAAAGCCAGTTTCGCACAGCAACATGACATTTGGTAGGCCTGTGCATCTTGAGTCGACCCACCAAAAAGTCCAGACACCCCATTTGGCTCAGGCCCATTTGAAATAGCTTTCGTTCTTCATTGGTATTATTTTCCTTTGTATTTAGTATTTCAGCCCCCGTGTCTGTCCTGAGTAGACCCACAAAAAAAAAAAAATGACACTGGAAGGATGCCATTTTGGTTTGACCTGCCCATTTCCTCGGCCAGTTTGGCTAATTCCGTGGCTCTTTCAGTAAGGACCTTCTCTGAATGATTTTGTTGAATTGCTACCAATTGTCAACACCTTATTTATGACAGATGGGCAACACTAAATTAGCCCACATCTGATGCCCACGTGCACGTACCGCAACACTACTGAGCAGGTATACGATATAAGCGCGACTGGGATGAATCAAAGGGGCTTATTTGGTCATATGACTGCATTTTGATCTCCAGCTTCAAAGAGCCCAGTCTGCAGGTGACACATACACAGGCCCAGCTTGTCATCTTTCTCGGTCTACAGACACCGTGTGGCTCCAAAAAACAACAAAGCTTCCATTGTAGCTCCTTAACGGCGGCGTCCCACCCAGAGTTCCTGTTGCTTGAAAACGTGGTCCACCACTTCTCATACCCGTGCATCCTGGACCTGAAAATGGGCACCCGGCAGCACGGTGACGACGCCTCCGAGGAGAAGGCAGCCAGGCAGATGAAGAAGTGCGAGCAGAGCACCTCGGCGACGCTGGGGGTGCGGCTGTGCGGCATGCAGGTAAAATTGAAGCCCATATTGAACCGTCGCTGTTCTCTGGAAATGGAACGGGGGAAGTGGTGCCAGAGCCGTATTTTTAAAGTGCCAGCAAATAGACGCTGGAAACCTGCACCCCAACTTAACTTTTCCACTGGAAATGCTGAACGTGTTGCCTTGTATGTGCTCGATGAACAATTGAAACACCAACGCTAATCTTTTGAAATTTTAGTTCATCGATATACAGTTAACCCATTTGGCCTCTGGCAAGGTCACAATGCCAGGTGAGCCTGTTCCCCTCCAGTCCTGTAGATGGTGGTAAAGCGCATTACAAAGTGTGTGGATGGCCTCGAAAGCGGCGCAAATGTAACCTGTCCGCCACCGGTTTGTCGGCAGGTGTACCAGCTGAACACGGGCCACTACCTCTGCAGAAACAAGTACTACGGGCGCGGGCTGTCCGCTGAGGGCTTCGGCCAGGCCCTGCAGCAGTACATGCACAACGGGCGGGGCCTGAGGCGGGACCTCTTTGAGCCCATCCTCCATAAGCTGCACAGCCTCAAGGCGGTGCTGGAGCGCCAGGCGTCCTACCGCTTCTACTCGTCCTCGCTGCTCATCATCTACGAGGGGAAGGTGAGGCCCACTGAGGTGTTCAAACAAAGAAAAGTAGGGCTGTTCGATTAATCGAGCAAGTTTATCAATTAATTCAGTCTCTGATGACCCCCATGCCCATCTTTTTTTTTTTTTTTTCTCCATTATTCACTGGCATGGATTTTTAAATTCGGCAACTGGAATCCAACCAGGTTTTTATTATTATTTCTATGTAGTTGTTTTTTGCATGTTTGTTTTTTTGCAGGTAAAAATTAAGTATTAACGTTATTTACAGTATTCATGTACAAGCTTGCAACTGATTTTTCACCAGGTTACTAGGTAAATTTGACACAAACTGAACTTTTTTTTGTTGTTTTTTTTTTTTAACATGATCCCATGAAGGGTTGACATACATTTTGCATATCTGGAAAATCCTAATCAAGGCCTTTAATTAGACATGTGACTGTGTGGTTTGCAGCAAGTGGATAAATCTTCATTGAGTTGGCCGTGCAGGTGGTACTTGCGGGCCAGGACGTCCTCGTCGATCGTGTTGCTGATGTTTGTTTTTTTTTCTCGCAGAAATCCGAAGCTCCCGCAAGTGTCAACTCTGGGCAGCTCGTCGCCAGGCAGAAGACCGCGGAGGAGCTCCACGGCGGCAATCCTGGGCCCGTCGCACCGCCTCCACCGGCAGCCGGCGACACCCCGCGTGCTGCGGACCCTCCGTCCCATCCGGACTCCTCTTCCTGCCCTGCGCTCCCCTTGACCCCGCTCCCACCGTCCCCCTCCGCCCCATCACCCCAGCAGCAGCAACAGCCCCCCCTGGTAGACGTTCGCATGATCGACTTTGCCCACTCCACCTTCAAAGGTTTCCGTGGAGACACAGCAGTCCACGATGGGCCCGACCGAGGCTACGTGCTGGGCCTGGAGAGTCTGATCCAGATCCTCGAGGGTCTGCAGGCGGAAAGCCACCAGTGAACACTCGAGTCTAACTATGGTAGTTGAAGTATTCCCCCCCCAAGACGTTCGCATGATCGACTTTGCCCACTCCACCTTCAAAGGTTTCCGTGGAGACACAGCAGTCCACGATGGGCCCGACCGAGGCTACGTGCTGGGCCTGGAGAGTCTGATCCAGATCCTCGAGGGTCTGCAGGCGGAAAGCCACCAGTGAACACTCGAGTCTAACTATGGTAGTTGAAGTATTCCCCCCCCCACACACACACACACACACACACACATTCCCTCCCTTTGCAGTGTTGTCATAGCAACACCTGTCCTCAAGCAAAACAGCCAGGAGGGGGGAGAGTGAGCAAGTAGACAAACTGTTGCGGCTGAACACACATTCGTCGACACTCAAGCCTGTGAAAGCCGAAGTTACT